TATATATATATATTTGAAGACTTTATGAATGACCATTTCCAAAATTAGATTTTCAGTGATTAAACTTAGCATGGTTAAATATAAATTTCAAGTTATAATATAAATATGTATTATTTCTTTCTTTTTTCCCACGGAACACAAAAAGGTTAAATTTAACTTGGATGCAGATCATCCCAATTCTCTTACACTTCTCATTGAAGTGAGAAGATGGAAACCATAGTTGGCTGAGCTTTTGCCCTGTCTTGTAGATTTCTTTGAGGTTATGCATTTGCTTTTCAAGATAAAAACTAGTGAGTTCCATGTCTATTCTTATTGATCTGGGTGCTAGACTGGTTTCCCTTCTTGTTGTTTATTGTTTAGTTCACTCACCCATCCGTCGTGTTTACTGAGATGATTTATTGAGTGAAGGTAGGCTTTAAGTAGAACTTGCTATGCTATGAAAAATACCACATTATATTTCTCTTTAAAACCTCTACTGTGTGTTGCTAATTGCATTTTTAACAACTTTGTTGAGATATCATTCACATACCATAAAATTTGCCCTTTTAAAGTATACAGTCTGTGGGTTCTAGTATCGTCACAGAGTTTTGCGGTCATCTCCACCCTCAAGTGTTAGAGCATTTTCATCAGCACAGAGAAACACCAGTCCCGTTAGCAGTCGCTCCATTTGCCCTGTCCCCCCGCACCTGTCAACCACTGACCTACTGTCTCTCCAAGGAGCCCTTGCCAGTGGAAAAGCAATGAGAAAACCAAAGTGCATCTTTTTTTTCTATAGCAACTTGGTCTAAAGACACCATACTCTTTTTAATTTTATTTTATTTTTATTAATCTTCATTCCAGGATAATGTTCTTACTTATTTGAGAGAGAGAGAAAGAGAGAGAGAGACATCGATCGGGTGCCTCCCATAAGCAACCTGACCAGGGATCAAACCCACAACCTAGGTGTGTGCCCTGACTGGAAATCGACCCCGAAACCTTTTGGGGTTTGGGATGACTCTCCAACCAATGGAGCCACCCAGCCAGGTAAAGACACCATACACTTTTTTTTTTAAATATGTCTTTATTGATTTCAGAGAGAGGAAGGGAGAGGGAGAGAGAAACATCAATGATGAGAGAGTCATTGATCGGCTGCCTCCTGCACGCCCCCTGCTGGGGATCAAGCCCACAACCCGGGCCTGTGCCCTGACCAGGAATCAAACCCCGATCTCCTGGACCCTAGGCCGCCGCTCAACCGCTGAGCCACACTGGCCGGGCAACACCATACACTTTTTAAGATGGAAACCGCTTTGAACAAGAGAAAAATACAAGTACAATTTGCCTCTTTTTTATTTTGCGGAAGTCCTTCAGAATATCTCCCTTCTCCTCGTCTCTCCTGATGAGTTTGGGCATCTTAATCACGCTCTGTTTTTCCTCTAGAATTATTGATGGTCCTTTCTCAACAATCCATACTCCTCTTCCTGACTTGATGAAAGAAAGATTAGGGGAGGAAAACAAGCTTTTTAGACGGTCTTGAACGTTTGGATAGCCATGTCAACTTTCAGATGAAATGACTTCTAGAGTAAATTGCCTGCTCTGTGTATATGGTGTTATATAGTAATACCTGAGGAAATGAACAGCTACGTGTGAGAAGGTTGTACGCCAGGGTCACACGTTTAGAACTGGAGCTTTCCTCCGAAAACCAAAGATGTGTGTATTGAAGGCAAGAATTTCCTCCCAAAATAGTCTTAACGGGCAGATTTGAGACCAATCCCACCACGGTTTGATGTCTGCGTGCCTCAACTTTGATAGAATTGAATAAATATTTGTCTTATCTCATGAAGAACTGGAAAGTCGGTTTGCAAAAGAAAAGAAACTCCCAGATGACAAAAGTTAATGCACTGAAAGTTGGATTTTTATGTCTTCACAGAACTCCCCCAAGCTCTTCTGCCCTAAAAACAGAAGCTTTGACGTTGACGCCATCCACAGCGTCATCGACGACGCCAAGCAGTATGTGTACATCGCGGTCATGGACTACCTGCCGATCTCCAGCACAAGCTCCAGAAGGTCAGTGGGCGCCCGCCTCGCCTGCGCGCCTGGCTGCAGGGCCGGGCGCTGAACTGGGGACCGCTGGCGAGGCCAGGCTGGACGCTGAGTCGCTGTCAGGTCACTTAGGTGGCACGTCACTCAGATCGCTGGGTGGGCAGGCGCAGCTTAGCCGTCACGCACCCCTTCCCTCAGTCCGTCTTCAGGACTCAGGGCCTCGCCCTACAGAAGCACCCCAGTAGTTTACATCAGAGGCACAGGAACGACTTCAGAATGAAGATCGGGTTGTTTTCAACTTGAAAATGATTTGAGAAATAAGGTAAAAATTATTTGGAAAGAATTTTGAGCCCTGCCAGGCGTGGCTCAGCGGTTGAGCGTCGACCTGGGATCCAGGCGATCAGGGTTCGATTCCCGGTCAGGGCACATGCCTGGTTGTGGGCTTGATCGATGACTCTCTCATCATTGATGTTTCTGTCTCTCTCTCCCTCTCCTTTCCTCTCTCTGAAATCAATAAAGATATATTTAAAAAAAAAAAAAAAGAATTTTGAAAATTTTTAGTTGAGATGTACCTGAAGGGCATCCTGCACCTGAGTAGGTCTGGCAAGATGTTCCTTAAATTAAGGATGCATCGTATTCACATCAGTCTAAATTTTCATAATATCTTTTCAACTTGAAGCAGAAGGAAACTTAAAATGTGTATGTTCTCAGTCAAGCCACCCCTCTGTCTGAGGAAGGGAGCATCTAAAAACGGAGATCTTTTTCAGTAATTCCTCAGTATTAATTCAGGGGCAGAATGCATACCTCGCCTAACTCACGACGTGCAGAAATTCGTGGCTATGCCCCAGATATTCCCCTCTTTTGCTTCCTTGCTGGGAATGCTGAGGTTTGCTTGTAAATGTTCTCAATAATACATTTAATCCAGGAAAAGTATTCCAAGTGCACATTTCTGAGAGTACAACCTGAGCCCTTTTTAATTTGGAAAATTACAATTTCACAATAACCATTTACTGAGCTGAAATGATTAAGTGCGCCCTATGTTGCCTGAATGCTTCCCATGTTGCCATCTTCACGTGTGCATAATATGCAGCTTCTTTATGCAGATGACTATATTGACCAGAAAGTGATCACTCCTAATGACCGTTGACAATCGTTTAAAAATGCCTATTATTAGGGAGTAGAGAGTTGGGGAAGACCATGACCAAGAACCTCAATTTTGTGAATGAAAAAAGAAATAAGTTTCTCTAGAAAGGGTAAAGTTTGGAATAATCAGAGAAAGGCACCGGAGGTGAAAATGACCCAACACAAAGGTAGGGGTTGTTGCATGGCATTGAGCTTGTGTTGCTCCAGTCTGCACAAGACTGATGTGGTTTGTGGTTATAGACACAGACCGAGGGAATCACAGCACTTATCCGAGATTTAGATTTTGCCAAGACCCAGAGGAAGGGAGAGGGGCGAGTGTCCTTCAAGTGACCAGAGCTGAGGTTCCTCTGATCAGGGAAAGAAGACCAGGAGGTTCTGATGGACCAGGAAAAAAACAGAGGGATCATGGATCTGGGCCACCTGGGTGACAGAGCTGGTTAAGTGTGAATAAGAGACTGGAGGGGCCTGAAGGACAGTTGGAGGTGCGATGATTACGAAACTATTGGGCTGAGGTTTTGGATAATATATCATTAGTCCAAACAGTGGATTGGCCCAGAATTAGGAAATGATTTGAAGGAACGAACAGAAGGTGTACAAATGGCAGGGCCTAGCGGAGAGAGACCGACTTGAGACTTATCTTTAAGACGGGAACGTTTATTTTTGTGAGTGTTTTTAACTGAGGATTAAGTGTCAGCTGTGGAAGCAACATTGTGTGTGTCGGTTGGGGGTGGGGGTGAGGGAGGCTGACCTCAAATCCTAAACCCAGTGGGCAGGTTGTGGTAGAAAATATGCAGCAGAGCCTGGCCAGCATGGCTCAGTGGTTGAGCATCGGCCTAGGATCCAGGAGGTCGCGGTTCGATTCCCGGTCAGGGCACAGGCCCGGGTTTCGGGCTCGATCCCAGCAGGGGGCCTGCAGGAGGCAGCCGATCAATGACTCTCTCATCATTGATGTTTCTCTCTCTCTCTCCCTCTTCCTTCCTCTCTCTGAAATCAATAAAGATATATTTTTTTTAAAAAAGAAAAGAAAATACGCAGCAGAACTTCAGGAGGAGCTGTGGTTTGGAGAAGAGTCAGAACTCAGTGCAGGCAAATGCTAAGGATTCAAGGGCGAGGCTGAGCCTGTGGGGGGAACTTTGCCTGATGGAGGATTCCCGGGGCCCAGAGTGCTGGGAGGGGGGAGACAGACTGGAAATAAGAGTGTGGAAAGCTTGATAACCAGAGCAGAAGCTCATTTGGGGACAGTTATCAAAAAACAGAGGTTTGAACGGTGTGGGAGAGGGGTTGCTCAAGGCTCCTAACTGGAATTCTGTTGAGAAGTTGATTCTTGGAGCACACGTCGGGTTGGAAGTGAGGTGAGGGTGGCAGTCTGTCTGTGTCCTCTCCCTACACAGCCTGAGGCCTGGTGCTGGGAGACCTCATTTTAGGCAGGAGCTGGTCCCCATAAAGCAACCCCTCTCCGAGCCCTAACCCAGGAGGCTGGCATTTTTTTCAAGGCATCCTACACGTTCATGTGTGTATCACAGAACAAGCAATGATCAAACTAATGTCAGTGTTCTCTGAAGTCTAGTAAATTTATTTTCCAAAACTAACTCGCCTTCTTTATTTTTATCCACATGGATATTACTTCTACAGGACTTACTGGCCAGACTTGGATGGGAAAATAAGAGAAGCGTTAGTTTTGCGGAGCGTCAAAGTTCGACTCCTGATAAGCTTCTGGAAGGACACGGACCCCCTTACATTTAACTTTATTTCATCTCTTAAAGCTATTTGCACTGAGGCCAACTGCAGTTTGAAAGTTGTAAGTATTACGTTGACTTTGCTATTATAAAAAAGTTTCTCCCCTTTGCGCATCCCTGAACGCTGTGAGCGCACACATGCACGTGAACTTCCAGTTAAGAACAGGAATAACAATCTTTGTTAGTGAAAAACACTTTAAAAGGTAGAGTAGGACCCTGACTGGTTTGCTCAGTGGTTAGAGCGTTAGCCTGCGGACTGAAGGGTCTCGGGTTCAGTTCCAGTCAAGGGCATGGACCTTGGTTGCAGGCTCGATCCCCAGCCCTGGTCGGGGCGCATGTGGGGGGCAACCAGTCCATGTGTCTCTGTCACATCGATGTTTCTCTCTCTCTCTCCCTCTCCCTCCTTCCCCTCTCTCTCCCCCCTCCACTCTCTCTGAAAAGCAATGGAAAAAATATCCTCTGCTGAGGATTTAAAAAAAAAAAGGTAGAGTAGATAATTGTTCAAAACAATCACACACCCAAGAAAGGAGACTAGAACCCAAGTGTCCTGGTGCCCTCATAGTCTAACCCTCTCTACACACACTTTCTGTTGTGTCCTCTCGTCTTTGAATGGCCTCCTTCAGCTACTATTCTCATTTGTAAGACTGTGACCAACAGCATTGGAACGTGCTCCAGCCGGACTCCCCCAGCCTTCATGTCCTCCTGGCCCGCTTCCTGCACTCGCTCCAGGTCCCTTGGGCCACTTGCTAACCCAACTCCGCATCCTTGAGGGAGCCAGACTGGGAATTGCTATGCTCTAAACGTGCTGAGTCTCTAGCTCTGGTCCTCACAGGTACCATTCTCTCCCTCCCCTCATGCTGTTCCCTCCGCCTACAGCACTTCTTTGTGTTTTCCCTGACTCATGCCACTAATCCTTCACCTCAGATTCCACCCCAGCCATTCAACAAATGGAGCATTGAGACCCTGCTGTGCCAGGCCCACTCCCAGGTGGTGGGAGTGGCCCCCCACCCCTTGCTCTGTGGGTTTTATCCACGAGGGGACTCATGGAAAGACACTGTAACTCACAAAGTTATTCCAGTCAGCTGGGTGTTTACTTTTTAATAAATTAGCAAATCACTTTTGAAATGTCTTTGCTGTCACAGCATATTCTGCATCTAATAGTATGTCAGTGAACACAATATAATTTCTATTGTCATTTTAGTCTCCCAGATAAAGCTGTTTCCCTCTTTGGGGCCATTTTTAACTTTCTAGAACAAATGGGTTCTCAGTAAAGCCTCTAGCTGCGATGCCATCCCTGACTTAAATTAGGATGTATGTTTAATTCTTTTTAAAGTCATTCTCAGCCCAGCCGGTGTGACTCAGTGGTTGAGCGTTGAGCCATGAACCAAGAGGTCAATGGTTCGATTCCTGGTCCGGGCACATGCCCAGGTTGCAGGCTTGATCCCCGGGGTGGGGGTGGCATGCAGGAGGCAGCTGATCAATGTTTCTCTCTCCCTCTCTCTAAAAAATCAATTTAGAAAAATATGTTAAGAATAAAATAAAATCATTCTCAATTTGACATGCCCTCGCCGTTGACTTAGAGCATTCACAGGTTACTAAGTCAGCCTGAAGAGTCCACAGAAGCAGTATGTGAATCCTCCAAATGACGTGGATTTTGCAGAAGAGGGGAGCTGAGGAAGTGAGGTGACCCAGGCAGGACTGCCTGTATCCATGGCAGCGTGGCCCTGGGAGAATGGTCCTCGGTGACAGGCGGCACACAGCACTTGGGTAGTAGATTCTGGACTGTGCACCGTTGACTTTAAGGGTTCTACAAAAAAAAATCAGAATAAAATGTTCAAGGCTGGAAAGGACCTTAGTGATCACCTATTTAATAGCCTTCTTTTCGCCCCTGGGAAGGCCAAGAGCAGTTTCTTATTTCCCCACACCAAGTCTCAACACTTACAGTTTTCAAACTATGAATGATGTTTTCATTCCTCGATATTGCTCTATTTTTCTCTCAAACACACGTGATTCCTCCACCGCTGTAAGGCATTCTGGAAAGGTTCCATGTGGTCCTGAAAATGTCCAACTTTTTCCAATGTGCCAAAGACTTAGCCCCCCTGGAATGCTGTTTTTTGGGTCACATAGTTGAAATTCAGGATTCATGGTTTGAAGTTGTGATTTTTTTAAAATTTTATTTGCCTATTAAAAGAGCCTTAGATTTAGGTGTTTAAATGCAAAGTGTTTGTTCCTTCGGCAGAATCTCTTTTGACCTTTGCAAATCCCCAGTTTAATCAGCTAGTCATTGACATGGGCCTGCTGCTGAGCCTAATGTGTGCAGCCGTAAGAATATTCATTGAGTTCATTGGCATGCTTGCCAGGAGCACCCCGAGGCCCCCTTCAAAAGCCGGTGCGCCCTGATGAGTAAGGCAATGAGACTGAAACAGCCTTCTGGCCCTCACCCCGTGGAAAGAATGAATGTGTGTTCATTTTGTACCTTAAAAGTGTTCATTATAGTTGAGCTTGCTCATTTCCTCTCGTTGCCTGTATAGATTTGAGAGCGAAAATAGCTGCATCTGTAGGAATTGACAAGATTGTGCCTTTAATAACCCAATATGAGGCCTCTTGTTGCTACGTGGGTAATAGACCCTTTCATACTCTCGAACCAGACCCAGAATGTGCTCTGTTCGCCTGCTTTATGTATTTACCTGGTTTTGTCTTCCAGAAATTTTTTGATCTGGAAAGAGAGAACGCTTGTGGTACAAAAGAACAAAAGAATCTCACCTTTCCTAAATTAAATCGGAACAAGTACATGGTCACGGATGGGGCCGCTTATATCGGTAGGTGCCGGGACTGCCGGGCTCCTTGGGGGATCCTGCAGGTCAGTGGCGGTCCAGCTGTGCTCTGTCCCCCACGGTGGCCTCGGGAGAGCCTACTAGTGAAGGGGGGAGGGGGCCCTGGAGGTCAGGAAACAGGAGGGTGAGTGAGGGCAAGGAGGTCTTCAGCCCAACATCTCCTCTGTGGCTGACTCGTCCACTAAGAGACCATATGAGATTTTTTTTTTATAAATGTTTTGCAGGAAATTCTTTGGTCCCTTTGCCTCATTTTATAGGTGACTCAGTGACTGGCTCATGAAAGGGGAGTCTTGGCACTTGAACGAGCACGTTGCTCCTTCCCCACACAGTACCACAGCCAGCCTGCCGTGGTTGGAGTTCAGTGCCCATCCCACCCCTGCTGTTGTTTAAATGTCTAACTTTAGACAGTTCACTTAAGCTCTCTAAACCTCAGTTTTCTCCTCTGTAAAATGGGGCTAATAATAGCTTCTACTTCATTGAATGAAGGTAAGATGGGATGCCATATGCAAATGACCAGGCACATGGATCATCCCGAGTCCTGTGAGCTGCTTTCAAGTTTTGGCAATTAGGACTGAACTGCTATAAACACCTGTGTGCAGGTTTTATACCAAGCAGCAAGATAAGAGTGTGTTTAGTTTTGTAAGACGCTACCAAAGTGTCTTCCAAAGTGGCTGCACCAGTTTTGCATTCCCAACAATGAATGAGAGTTCCTGTTGCTCCATGTCCTCAGCAGCATTTGGTGTTGTCAGGGTTCTGGATTTGGGCCGTTCTACTAGGTATGTGGTGGTATCTCGTTGTTTTAATTTGCATTTCCATGATGACATGTGACTCTGACGTGAAGCATCTTTTCAGAGGCTTATCTGACATCTGTTTATCTTCTTCGGTGAGGTGTCCGTTAAAGTCTTTGGCCCATTTTTTAATTGGATTTTTCATTTTCTTATAGTTCAGTTTTAAGAGTTCTTTGTCATTTTGGATAGCAGTCTTTTATCAGATGTGTCTTCTGCAAATATTTTCTTCCAACGCATGCTTATCATTTGCTTTCCTTGACAGTGTCTTTCACAAAACAAAAATTTTTAATTTTAATGAAGTCCAGCTTCTCAGTTCTTTCTTTTATGGATCGTGCCTTTGATGTTATATCTAAAAATTCTTCACTCGGCCAGCATGGCTCAGCAGTTGAGCATCGACCCAGGAGGTCATGGTTGGATTCCCGGTCAGGGCACTTGCCTGGGTTTCGGGCTGGATCCCCAGTAGGGGGCGTGCAGGAGGCAGCCTATCAGTGATTCTCATCATTGGTGTTTCTCTCTTTCTCTCTTCCTTCCTCTCTCTGAGATCAATAAAAATAAAAAGCATTTAAAAAAATTATAAAAATTCTTCACCAAACCCCTGGTCATCTAAATTTTCTCCTAGGAGTCTTATGGTTTTGGCATTTACATTTAGGTCTGTGATCCACTTGGAGTTAATTTTTGTGGAGGGCGTAAGGTCTGTGTCTAGATTTAGTTTTGCGTATAGATGCCCTGTGGTCCCCGCATCATTTATTGAAAAGACTGTCTTTGCTCCACTGTATTGCCTTTGCTCCTTTGTCAAGATCAGTTGACTATATTTATGTGGGTCTATTTCTGGATTCTGTTATTTTAATGTGTTTTTAATTGAGTTTATTTTACACACAGCATTTTAGTAAAACATTAATTCCCTAGAGTGAAGCATAGTTCTAGTATAAAAATATTCAAAGGGCATCAAGAGGAAAACTTCATTGATAATTTAAATAATTATCAGCATGTTCTGGAAAGCTCTTAAGTCATCACTCAGACACCCGCTGAGAATTCTGAATTAAGAAAAATCCTCACTAGGCCCTGCATAGAATTATAGCTCTATGAATTTTCACAAGACTTACAGAAGAATCCCCAAACAGTATCATCTCTCTTAATTTTTAATTCTTCATAGTATATTTGAATCAAGCTTGGCAAACTCATCTGGAAGATGGTCTGAATTAGAAGGCTGATTAGGGCTTGTAGCTTGATTGAAGGCACTGAAGAGGCTCATGAAGCCCACGTACCTTCCCAGTGAGTTCATTTGTACCATCGCCGTGGTGTTCCTGGGGCTGACTCCACAGCTCTGGCATCAGGGGCCAGCTTGCATTCTGGAAGCTGAAATGGCCATCTCACAAAGAGCCGCATGAAACCATCCCAACTGAAAACAATACTGAAGCATATACTGTGATTTTGAAGTTCAGCCAAGCCATCAGGAAGAGAAAGATAGAACATGATCAGCCCGGCCAGCGTGGCTCAGCAGTTGAGCATCGACCTATGATCCAGGAGATCACAGGTTCGATTCCCGGTCAGGGCACATGCCCAGGCTGCAGGCTCAGTCCCCAGTGGGGGGCGTGTAGTAGGCAGCCGATCAATGATTCTCTCATCACTGATGTTTTTATCTCTCTCCCTCTCCCTTCCTTTCTCTGAAATCAATAAAGATATATTAAAAACAACAACACGTGATCACACTGGGTACAGGAATGCCTCTGAGGGCCTGTGAAAATAGCCAACAGCTATAATTCCTGAGAAGAACCTAATTAGAGCTTTTGAGAATCAATAGAGATACAAGATTTTGGCTTCATCTATTGTATTGAAGGAAAAAGCTGAATTTTATAGATTAAGGATCTCACACCTTCTCAACCCTCATCTCTTCCCTTTCCCGGGCTACCCCAAAGCATATTTCCATGTATGTCTCCTTCAGAAAATGTGGTCTGCAGATGAAGGGAGCAGAGGTCCCAGTGTGGTCCAATGTGCCAACCCTGGGCTGACCAGGGTGGAAGTGCAGGGTGACACACCCAGTCAACACAAGGTGTGCCTTTAGGATCAGAGGTGACCTGGGACGGAAGGTGCATGTGGGCTGTGCAGTCAGACCTGGCTTTGAACCTCGCCCTGATACGTTTTCACTCCCACCTTGGACAAATGACACGGCCTTTCTGTGCCTTCATTTCTTCGTCAATATAATGGAGTTAGTGTCATCACCATGAGGGTTGCAGTGACGACTGAATGACATCATGTTCACGAGATAAAAATTTTACCCCGATTGCTCCAATGCCTGGCACTTAGCTGTAGGGATGAGATTTTAGGGTCTTACCTAAAAGTTTTCGAGAGGCAGGAGCCTTTTGCTTATGGAATGAATAGAAGATGCCAACTGTCAACAGGTTCCAGAGTAGCTCGCCACCTGCAGGAGCCCCTCCCCAGTTAGAGGCCCAAGCCCGTGTCACCCAGCACTGAGCACTTGCGCAGAGCCAGGGCCTCGGGGTGCAGCCACGTGTCCCAGCGCAGCACCAGCAAGGGGGGTCTGTGTGCAGGGACCCGACGGGATGCCCTGAAGCTTTTGGTAGACGTCTCATTTCTCGCAATAAGGTTCATCCGAGCGAGGAGTGTGCTTTGCGTAATCAGATGGGAACTGGTCCTGGCTTCAGCTTTTACTTTGATGTGAAAGCTCCCAAGCATTTTAATTAGGATCCACATTGGTAACATATGGATTAGATGTCGTCTCTGAGAAGGTAGTAATTGTTCACAGGATTTTTAAGTGGATTCCCGTATATTTTAAATGTTGCCGTATTTAGTGCGTCTTGTGAATGTCAATAAGAAATAACATTTACAAAAAAGAGCAGCAGATTCCTTGTTTAGAGTTTCAAGTCGAGCGAAGCTGAAGAAAATGCCAAAATAACATGCGAATATTAATCTGCCATATGGAAGGCTTCCTGGATTTTTTTATTTCATTTTTTTTCTGAGCTGTCAACACAATTTGGTCTCCCCCTTACCATCTCGGGTGTCGATGTCATTATTTTTTTAATGGAATCTGCTGCATATTTCGCTGTATGGGGGGGGG